TGGCCTGCTGGAAATCAAGGACTTGCAAATATTGAAGGTGATATGTTGTTTCAATATTTGACTATACAGAAGTGTTGCATAGTAAAGTTATGATTTAGGTTCTTCATGAGTGATATTTGTTATAACAATTCCAAAAGATTGCTACAGCTTGCCAGATGACTTAAAGATGTCTTTCTGAATAAGGGCTATATTCTTTTGTACAAGCTTGAGCACCCAGTGCCCTGACTGCATCTGAGTTGTTTTTGGTTGTTGACAAGCACACACCAACTCTCTGTGAGAAAGAAACAGAGATTACTCACACTTTGGGGCAAGCAGTAACTACATACCCAGAAATGGTGTTTGTTTAGTTAAAAAGGATGTCACAAAGGTATGATGAGATCAGTTATGCATGACTCAAGTCATGAATTTCTCAGACAATACCTCATGCAATTTATTCCTACCCATATGTACCACCATGTATGGTATGCTATCATGTCAATCAAACCACTCAACTTTGATTTGAATACTCTTTCTATAGTTGCCTGCATACAGTAAGCCCAACCCATTATTTCACCTATATTCTTCTTTCATCCCTTGTAACCAATGATGAGAACAATATCACTACTCAATCTTTTGCATTTGCTGCGGTGATGTGATTGTCATAATAGATCAGATTCATACTGGACCCATATCTACGGAAGTTTCTTATTTAGACATCAGCTAGAGGACCTATGATACCATTTGAAAGATATAAGCCCCAATTTGAAGATACTGACTTCTCAACCAAACTATTTTCAGACATGTGGTTACCAAATTACAGGTGTGTAAGAGATTTGTGCCATCCTCAAAAGTGTCCATTTTGTGTTTTTTGAAGATTGATGTAAAGTTAAGACAAATGCCTCCCTGTAGTGGCTGAAGGATACATCATGCTTAACAAAAGCATCCTGATACAAGGCTGTATTGGTGATCTGTAGCCTAACTCTCTGCAAATCATTGACAAAAAAGAAAATCAGTTTTGAGGATGATAAAAAATTTCTTGAACAGCTGTAAAGAAATAATTTCAATGGGTCTTTTGCAATGGGGAGGAGTGTTTTCATGTACATGGTTCCTCAAGAAATCTGTAGTGGAGGAAGGTTGTGAGGGTGAGCCTTCAGAAACATAGTATGGGGACTGACTTAGGGATATTGGAGAGAATTGAGTACAAAGATACATATGAGATAGTGAGACAGACCATCTCTCACAAAAAATCTTGTGATGAGGCACATCTACTGAAATCATGCAGATCCCAAAAGAAGGTCCCTTCTCCCGTCATGTTTTGCTTAGCCAAACAATATATCACTTTTGTGCAGTGTAGCTCTAGAATGTAGCAATATAATACTGCAATTAGAACCTTGATCACATAGTGAAGGACAATTCTGATATGGCTGCTGTTGTACTATGGCTGTGCATTGAGGCAATTGGTTGATTTCAGATGGAGATAAAAGCTCCAAAGACGAAGCTTCCATTGTAGAAGGGAGAACTAGGATATAGTGGATTGATTTTGGTTGTATAAGAACAGTTGAAAAATACTCATAGTCAGATAATTGAGTGCTCTCTCTCATACAGCCCATTTTGCACCTGAAACATAATGAGGAAAAGTCTAGCATTGTACCAGGGCTGGTAGCATAGATCACCCCTATGCTATGCTGAAAACCTTGGTAATGTAGCTCTAGCAGCTATGCTATAATCATGCTGCAGCTTCTTGTACTGCAGCTGAGACAATGTTGACAAAGCTACACCTCCAAGATTCATTGCCCTGGCAACCCCCTTTTCATCACTTTTTCCCTGTTGTTTTTACCCATTTGGCCATACAATCTTACTAAGACATCACTATGCTACACTTAGTGACCCAATGATATGCAAATTAGTCCCTGCTTTCTGCTCTGAGCTATTATTCTGGGAAGACCTTTTGTGGCACCACCCCCACCCAAAACACACCTCCCATAATTTATTCTCCTGCTGCAATGAGTGAGTGCCTGCAATTATATAAAGCATAGGCACTAGGTTGGTATTCTTGGTGTATGTAGCTACTTGTTGCTTGAGCTTTTGGGTCACCAGTAGGAAGTGCTGAAAACATGCTTGAAAGTTTGATGTAGTACAAGAAATTGTTGGTTGATGGCCAGAGGATTTTAAATGTAGAACAATTGAGATAAAACCAGATGGATAGAGTAGGAAAATAGTCAGAGATTAGCATATTTTTCAGGCACAAGTAATCCATCAATTTGATATGACAAATTCAAACCATAAATACTATAAACAAATTGTCATTTATTTTCTAGGTTGCTCTCATTAGCAAAACTTCTCAACTACTTACAGTTTGGAAGCTGGCCAGATTCTACCTGTGTGAATCCTTCAAATATCCCACATACATTTCCAGGATACAAAGTAGAACCTGGCCTTGTTCCCAGATTTTTTCAGCAGTAAATTTGAATCCCAGGCCCGGAATTTTGCCCAGAAAATCGAAATTCGCAGCAAACAAAACGCTGGGCACAAGGCCGGGCGCGTGCCGGGATCCTACTTTGTATCCCACATTTCTAACTGAAACTGTTGTATGCCCTTGCACATGTAAAACCAGCCAAACTTCATAGGTTTTGGTGTTCACCCAGCTGACATGGTCCAAAAAAGGATCTTCATTGCATGATGCATGATGCATAGAGCTATAGCAAAGAATCAGATTTTGGAAGGGGTATTGCACAGGTCACATCCACTGATATGTTGGTGATACAAACAAAAAGCAAGAAAATTAGTTGTTTGAAATGACCTTTGGTCTCAGATTAGACAAATCCATGCAAAAATATACCAAGATGGTTCAGTCAGAGATGTTCTTTGGTCCTGAAAAAGTGGCCATCACTAAATTTTCCAAATGGGGTGAAAATTTCTAATCCCTCAGCCTGTATTCATCTTCTTCTACAGAAGATGCCCTGAAAACAGTTATATTTGTCTCTTTTTATACCCAATAGACATGCACACTGCTTGCTTGTGCCAAATGACAACTGTCTTAAAGCATCAAATTAGACCAATACATCCTTTGATATATTTTCATGCAGTTTGGACCAAAAAGAATAAGCTGTGTAATTGTGTAGCAATACTGGTCACCCAAAATCATGCCTCTGCATGGGATAGACTGCAGTGTGTTGTATGTACACTATTTAAACCAACAAAGTCCCTCTTGGCAAGCAAGCCTGTGAGAGAGGGACTCATGGGTTATCCACAAAATTTGGTGTGTGAGCAAGAAACTTTTGGGTGGTGAGTTTTTCAACCCACCATAACTTGTTACCCTACAAATAAACAGTCTTTGGACCAAAGCAAGCTCCTGTGTGCCTGCTCAACCTCCATAAATTGGTGTATCTCACTGCATATTTGATTCAATTATAGCCAAGCAATAGAAGGCTGAAGTTTGCAAAAAAACCAAAATACCCAAGAAAGCTGTCCAAACTGTTGAATGCTTGTACTGCGACAGCTGAGATGTTACACATAAACCCATTTTTCAAGTCTTTCTGTAGTGCTTTCTTGAAACCAAGAGAGATATTCCAAAGAAGCAGTATGTGTAGGTTGAGCAGGCGCACAGAATCTTTCTTTGGTCTGGAGGCTGTTTATTTTCATGGTAAAAAGTAATGGCGGGTTGAAAAACCTCTTAGCCAAAAGTTTCTTGCTCACACACCAAATTTTGTGCAAAACCCATACATAAGTACCTCTCTTGCAGGCTCTCTCACTGAGAGGGAATTTGTTAGGTTAGGTACACTCACCATGTCTGTATCCCTGTAGGATGTCAATGTGCACACACAGAGAGTTTCCAGAAGGATCTGGAAGAACTTTTCTCAAGTTCAGACTGGTGGATCACTTTTATGCACACACCCTTTGTTGGAACTCAATTGCTCAAGTTTCAACAACCCACTTAATAAAGGCAAAGCCTTAAGACCTCTTTTGAGGCCCTTGCAAGTTTCTATCAAAAGTCTTTTGGGTGTGCACGTCAACGTGTCACATGAATATAGACATGGTGACCATGATGTTTTTGTGAAGCTTGCTCCTGCAAGTATGTAATACCTCACAGCCATCACAAATGCAACTTAAATGTCTAGTCTATCTATATCCTAACTTGACCACGTATAGTCAGATCCGCACAATTGTGTACCTGTGCAACTGCATAACCCCTGTTGGTGCATACAAAAAAAACTCAAAAAATCCTTAACCTTGATGCTTTTACTGCCAAATCTGACTGCTGAATTGCATGAACCATTCAAATGAATACCAAAAGTCTTCTGTGCATATTATGGAGTTGCACAGGTGTGACTGTTGATGATGTTTGATTGTTTTTAAATATTTAAACCATAGATACAGCATTGAAAAAAATACAGAGTCCTAAACCCCCAAAAACATCTGTGGTGTAGGGGTTATCATCTGAGCTTCCCAAATTGGATCTGCTCAGGACCCGGGTTCGAATCTCGGCGGATGTATTTCTTTTGCACTTGGGGCGGCTTCACCTTGGTCTTCCTAACCTTTCCGATGCGAAACGGTAATTAGAGGATAATTTTAATTATCAATGAACCATGTTCGCATATTCCGCTACATCATCCTATGTCATGCCCAAATGAAAAGGCTCTCAAACCTGCTGCTATAACTTGCAAGGGTGAGAATGGATTGGTATAAGTGGCCATGTTGGGCAGCTGGTCTTAACCATTGAGATGGGTCAATGCTATGGACGCGAGTTGATGGAGATAGTCGCGTTACAAATCATCGTCGATCGACGATCGATCCAGATTGACCGAGTTACAGTCGTTTGAAATCGTACGCAATGGGAATGAGCTGGGGATCGAGCACAGCTTTTTGTTACAGTATTTGATGTCGGATGCGGTACTGTCCCGATGCGCGTAGTTGAAATCGGATAGTTTCTATGAATTTCACTCTAGACGCGTCTTCTGAGTTAAAAACCCACTTCACCTCACTTTTTGCCATTCCACTTCTCATCACCAATTTCGGATTCATCATTAGACTTCATCAGTCTTCATAACAAGCTAATCTAGCTACTCAACTATATCACAAAGAACTTTATCCAATCTCTATCTTTTTTTTTCGAACTCAATCATCAAGATGGCTTCAGTCGACAGTGCTACTGCTGCCCTAGATTCCCTTGATCTCAAAGATGCTATCAAGAACAAATTAGCAACTGTAGATCACATTAATGGATCTGATACCATTGATCGAACTCGATTCGTTGGAAATCCCGATATCACTTGTGATGCGGAAGAACCTTTATTGAAGGAAGATGGTCATCGCTTTGTCCTATTCCCAATCAAATATCACGAAGTAAGCTTTTATCTTTTTCATCGTTATAAAATCCTTCTCATGACTTATGATTCAATTCTCCTACTAGATTTGGGCATCCTACAAGCGAGCCGAGGCTTCGTTTTGGACAGCTGAAGAGATCGATCTTTCAAAGGATATGCACGATTGGGAAAACAGGTTGAACGATGATGAGAAACACTTTATTAAACACGTCTTGGCTTTCTTCGCTGCTTCAGATGGAATTGTCAACGAGAACTTGATTGAAAGATTTAGTGGAGAGGTTCAAGCGGCTGAAGCCCGATGCTTTTATGGCTTTCAGATCATGATGTACGTGTAACGCTTTCAATTTCCCCGAATCCCGTCATGGCCGTTTCTGAGATTCACACGCGCGTCTATCCCTGCCCGATTCTAGGGAGAACATTCATTCGGAAGTCTATTCGCTTCTGATTGATACTTACGTCCGAGAGCCAATAGAAAGGTCACATCTTTTCGACGCAATTGATACCATTCCTTGCATACGTAAAAAGGCCGATTGGGCTCTGAAATGGATTTCGGACAAGCAATCCACTTTTGGGGAACGCTTGATTGCTTTTGCTGCGGTTGAGGGAATCTTCTTCTCTGGTTTGTTTCAAGTTTCCATAAGCCCATTACGGTTTTTATGCTTCCTAACCGTTCCGTTTTACCTCGCTTAATAGGATCCTTTGCCTCGATTTTCTGGCTCAAGAAACGTGGCTTGATGCCTGGTCTAACCTTTTCAAACGAGTTGATTTCTCGCGATGAAGGCCTCCACACAGACTTTGCTTGTCTACTTTTCTCTCACCTCGAAAGGCGGCCGCACCCGGATACCGTTCAAGCTATAATATCACAAGCAGTTGAGATTGAGAAGGAGTTCTTGTCAGATGCATTACCCTGCAAGTTGATTGGTATGAACGCGGATTTGATGTGCCAGTCAGTCATATTTAGCCTTTGATGCATGTGAATACTCGTATTGCGCTCTAACCTCGCTGTTCTGTTGACAGATACATCGAGTTTGTCGCTGACCGCCTCTTGGTTGCCTTGGGCAATGACAAATTCTACAACGCTGAAAACCCATTCGACTTGTAAGTTATCTCACCAGGCTTTTTGATTTAAGCGCCATGCTAACCTTGTTCGTTCGTGATTCAGTATGGAAATGATCTCATTATCCGGGAAGACTAACTTTTTCGAAAAGCGAGTCTCAGATTATGCTAAGGCTGGTGTGATGACGCGATCGAAGGGTGAAGATGGAGCTGATGCCAAAGAAGCTGGTGGAGGTGGTCTCTTTTCGCTAGATGAGGACTTTTAAACCCGAAATGTGGTCTACACCGGTCGTTACATCCTGCTTTCTGCCTCTACTAGTCACATCCCCTCTCTTAGTGATGACTGGTCCTTCTGCATTGATCCATCAGTCATCTGGAAAGCTAGGCCCCTTAACAGAGAGGGTACTGTTCTTTCGTTTTTCTTGCTTGTGTGGAAAGCTTGTGTCAATGACCTGATCATCTACTTGGAATGTGTTGATGTTTTTCTTTTCTCTCTTACTTTTTGTTAGACTTGGTATCATAACTATGATGGATTTTTGTAATGTGCGATTGGGTTTATTTTTTTTCATGTGTGAAATACGATATTTGTATAACTCCCTTGACATCATGATTGTTTCCTTGATGATCATTTGCTCATATGAAAAGTATCATCATTGTCATTCAGATTGCAGAATATCTCCATAGATGAGCGAACCTGGCTCTCACTTTTACGAAATGATAGTACTTGCCAATATTGTAGAAGTTTGGAATGAATGCTTTGACGGGATGATCACAACAGAGATTGAGCTTTAGCAGACCACTCAAAATTTTAGAATCCGATGCAGGTCCACTATGGAAGGAGCTCATATATAGAGAGTATTGTTAATTTTTGTTTGAGACTCTTTCTGGTTCCTCTCGTATAGTTTGGCCATTGAAGGTCTTCTGGAAATCACCTCTTGTGGATATTGAGACGTGAATAGATTGAAAGATATCCAACAGATCTCTTCATACATCGAATTTTTAGGTATGTCCACCCCTCCAGAAGATTAAAGGAAAGTCCACGTAATAAACTGTTAGAAAGCCAATTCACATCCAGTTGTAATCAGCATCATATCTTGATTGAGGTGTGAATAAAGTGTGAGGATGCAATATAAAGTACCTGCAGGCATTCAACAGCCTTCATAACTGACATATCCAAAACTTCAACCTCAGGACTGGGGGGTGGCACTGACAGCAAAGGGTGGTAGAAATAGTGACGTGGCTTCACCTACGTCTCAGGAGTGGCTCAGACAGGCTGAGATGCATGCTCGGCCATGATTGAGCAGCAGCAATGAATCTAGCATTCATAAACCAGAAAAAGTTATTAAACCATCTCATTTTTGGACTACAGAAAGTCACCAGACATCACAAAACCACAGAAAAAGAGTCATCTTCATCAAACAAGAAACCAAACACTAATAAATAAAATAAAAAAATTGACTTCCTCAATCCCCCAGAGGAAAACCACATCATTGGTAGAAAAAAACAATCACGTTTGTAATCATCAGAGCTCATCCGAAGAAGACAAAATTTAAAAACCTCTTCCTCAAACCATCATTATCAACTCCCCAAACAAAAAAAATATTGACACCCAGAAAGACCAAAAATCAACTTGCAAAAGAAATAGGAGAGTGGATGAGGATAGAGGCACACGAAGAAGGGAATATATGTGATGGATTGAGTGGAGCGCACACATAAACTATTAGTCTTTGGTGTATACATTCATTCAATACATGTATATGAGTAGGAGAAATAATCATTTTCGGATCTGTGATGTTTACAAGTCATCGAAAGAAAAAGAATAAAGGAATAGAATATATGGGCTGACTCGTTTCAGGAGTAGCTTTTGTTGTCGGCAATCGAGAAGGTGTGATGGGGAGTTGACTGATCATTGATTGGGAATGGCAACTCCTTCAGGTCTCTTCAAGATTGTACGTGGAGCTTGTGATGAGTGTGGTTTAGAGCGAGGTTGTTCTTCAACAGGATTCGCTTTGACGGGAGGTGACGCAGCGGCCTTGGCGAGTGCTGCAAAGGAAATACCCTCTTTCCTGAATGAAGAAAGATTCGGAGATTTGGGTGACGCTACGCTATCACTTGTTGCATTGTTGACGGTTGCAGTACCAGAGGCCGGGGTAGCACCAGAGGCAGCACGAGACGCCGGAATAGTAGATTTTCCATTAGCCATCTTGGGCGTGTCGCGGGCGGTGGATCTCCACTTGGAGGAGCTAGAGTTAACAGGTTTGTTAGATGTCGGCGGGTGGGTATTTGTCGCAGCTGGTGTTGATGATGAAGTGGGCACTGGACCGTTACTTTGTTTGCTCTCAGTAGACGTAACAGGATTGGAAGTCGGTTCGGGCTCGGGGGCGGTTTTGGGTTCCCTCGCCTCCTCGGCCTCCTTCTTGATCTTTTCTTCCAGTGCCTTCTTTTCTTTTTGGAGTTTTTCTTCAATCTCCAACTCTTTTTGCAGGGTATCGACAGGTTTTGCAGCTCCAAAAGGGTTGGTCTTCGGGGCCTTGGGAGCACTCGGGGCGATCTCGTTTGATGCGACAGATGCTGTTTCTTCGTTGGCGCGACTGACAGTCTCTTGACTAGCCTTATGTGTAAGGCCGACAGCTTTCTTCGCAACCAGAGCTGCTAGTTCCTCACGTTCCTTCTCCAACTTTTCTTGAATGGCTTTGTCGCGCTCAGTAGAGTCAACAGGCTTGGCTGAACCGAAGGGAGATGGTTTGGCACTGGTAGTATGTGATTGAGGGGGTGTTGAAGCTCCATCCGATGGACTGACCGTTCTTGCGGATAGCTCAAGCTTACGACGGGTGGGAGGAAGGGTGGAAGAAGCTACAGAGCCAGAGACGATGATTTGTTAGTGCTATTATCAGGTTTTCGTAAGCTGAGAAACATTTACAAGGAGCACTTTCGCGTTCGGATGCGTTCGGCGATTTCGCGCTGCGCCAAGTACCCACTGTGTCAGCAGGTGATAGACCGATCTCACTCGCTTTGCGGTCAGCAAAAGGTGGTCGCCTTCCATTACCACCTGAAACACTGTGCCCATCGTCGGAGCCAACTGGAGTTCCTCGGCTAGGAACAAAGCTACCGCCTCGTTTGGGGGGTTCACGGTCCTTTCTCGGTTCATCGACCGATGGGACAAACCTGCTACCAAAACCCATCCTTTCACCTCTATCTACGTTATCACCTTCGTTCTGGTTCCCCGCGCCTGCGTCACCGCCCGCCCGGCTAAAGCCTCGGCCAGATTGTGATCGAGGTCCAAGGCCGTGGCTACTCGTTGAGGAAGGAACGAACTTCGAGCCAAATCCCATACGTTCGCCACGATCGGCTTCTTCCATTGATGAACGATCATAATTATTCGAAGTGTTGCGACTACGACGATTATCATCGAGAGAAGGAAGAGGCCCGTCACGTCTCCAAGCACCGCCAGTTCGATCCTCCCGCTCTTTCGCTTTGCATACCAAAGAAAATATTCTGATGCATTAGCTTTCCTGCGATGGAGAGGGAGGAAGGAGAAATGGTTACATACGTGGTTCAGCTACACTGACTCTGATCACTCGGCCTCCGACCTCTCGTCCTGATTTGTCCAAAGCTTCTACCAGAGCCTCCCGCTTGCTGAACTGCAATGTATAACGAATCCCATCGGTTCAGCTTGGGTCGACACCTACTGGCAGATTGGGCCTACCTCGATATATCCATATCCTTTAGGTTTACCAGTGGCGCTATCCGTGAGCATTCGGATGGACGTTATCTACACAAAACACTATGTTAGAGTGATACAAAGCGATGAAGAAAGAGTGAAAGTTTGTGGTTATGCTTACATGGGTTACTCCGAAAAATTGTTCAAGGTCAGCATTACTGACTTCCCAACTCAGATTACCCACAAACGCGTTGAAGGGAGGTTTGTCAGGTATTGGTAACTCTGCACGCGGAGGTCTGTCCATATCCCGATCTCCCCCTCGGCGATTGTTATCCCGGTCGCCATATCGGTTGTTACCATCGAATCGACTAAGATGTGAGCCTCCAAGTCCACTGGCGGTGGGCTCGTTAGGATCACGGGGAGCCGCTGATGATGAGCAGAAATTGGTATGTGGTTGGTCAATCAAGGCTGGTGAACATTTCGAGCTGAAAGATAACCTTACGGGCTGTGGGAAGCTCATCCATTTCATCGGCCCACGACATGCCAGTGGCCTGATCTGCCAGGAAATCGCCCAAGGCGACTTTTTTAGATTTTTTTGGTGCCATGATGGTTAGGTGACTGAAAATCGAAAGCGTTCAAGAATATATGAGTTTAAATTACGATTCGAAGAGAAATGTGAGAATGGAAGATAGGAAAGTCGGAAGTGACGGAAGTGAGGTGTATGCGTAAGTTAAATGGTCAGTAGGCGAGGTAATGAAGAAAGTGGGTTATCAACCGATGGATGGGGTTTTCAAGTGGGAACAAACAGAATATCTTCTCAGCCCAAAGACTCACCTTGATCAAACTACCGACCGCTAATAAGTTGAAGTGATTGATTTGACGTAATTTGTCGAAGAACTATTCTGTTCTGATCCTAAAATTAATAATCTCTAGCTTGAGAATGATAGTAATACTCTGATTGTCTCTTTAATCGATCAATCTAAGAAATTTCCTTGCTGGCTGAGATGAAAAATTTTTTCGACTAGGGCCTGTTGACCAAAAGGTTGAATCTCTTGGGACTTTACTCTCTAGCTAGGGGTAGAAGAAACGTGTATGAGTTTTGTCCCCATGTTTTGACACTTATTTTGAAATCTGCGTGAAATGAGTTTGTTGCAAATTAACCACCACAAGCTCTTGTCGGCTGATTTCCTTCATAGTGTTTGATATCATATCTGCTGTGTTTGAAGCAAGTCCAATCATATTCTGAGATCAACACCTCACTCACCCCAATGGAAGACTAGAACCACATCTTGAAACAAAATAGAGGAATATCTCTCAGCAAAACAAGGACCAAACTGTGAGTTTAGCAAGACATATCCACTGGTAGACTAAAAAAGATAAAAAAAGCAATAAAACAGCCAAGTGATGAGTTTTAATGGTAAGCCCGCCCTTACAAGTGCAACCCACTGCAGCATTAGGTATACATAGGGAAGAGGGTGGGGCTCCTAGCTAAACCCATGTTCACACTTTGGCAACTATTCATGGTAATGCCTTCCCATCAAAGGAATCCAGCCCCTCTGTGTCAGGATGTGACACTATATTGTTACAAAATAAATTCAAGTTGAGGATCTGAAATACTTGAAAAGCTTTTGATGCCTCACAAGTACTGGCAAGAAGTGTTTGTGCAAGAAGGCTCATAAGTCTGGTCTTCGACTTGATAAAGGAATTTGACATGATGTAGACAGATAGATTGAATGATTGAACTTGCAGGCCAAGAGCACCAAAGTAGTTTCAATCGAAAGCTTGATATCCACAACAAAGTAGTCATGGGTTCAGGATGAAAAAAGAGAAAGTTGACTAGAGGGCTAGAGGTAAAGCAATCGACCGGTACGGATTCCGTGCCACCTCTTATTAGACTCACAAAGACCTTGTTTGATACAAATCGGCTCAATTGAACACGATTGACTTTGGGATGAAGGTGAGGGGTTCAGATGTTCTGACTCGAGTGGTGTTGTCGACATATCCCGAATGAAAACCGCAGCGAAAAATCCTATCGTAGTGTCCAATTTAGGATCAAAGCGGACCATCCGATCGGTTGATGCTATGTGCGGATGATGTGCCATAGGATCGTGAGCTAATCTGATTGGATTTAATGCAAAAAGTATAGCTTATCCCTACTTACCCTTTTCAGCGTCAGATCGGGGTCTCCCTAATCGCTTCCAAGGTTTGCCAGGTTTCAGCGCATCAGTCAAGTCTTTCAGCTGCCAGCCTTTTTTCGACATTTCGGGTTTGGCCAGAACCCTGAACACGACTTCTTCATCTTCTTCTCTCTATCGATAAACTTGAATCAGTCAATCTTGAAGGTAGGCAGAGGCTCAGGTGAAGCACTGGTCTTACCCAAATTGAGCAGGTCGAGTATGCTACCTGAACCACCGACTTGAAGCGCAACGCATGTGACAGAATCGTGGTCTGAAAGCGTGCTAGTGAATTGATACGACCCTCATCGCGTTTTGAGCCATCAAGGTGATCAAGTCGGTTGGAGATGCCCGAGCCAGCTGCATATCATGATAAATTGCGATAAAGCCGCGTCAGGTCAGCATAGACTCGACTTGAAAAGTAAAGAGTCACACATACAGCACGATGGATCGAGAAGGATATGTGTGACGTCGTGAAACCGTGGGTCATTGGTCTTCACAGATAAGAAATCGCCAAGAATGCATTCAACATCTGCCAAGGGACCCAACGTAGAATTAGTTTTACTGAACAGCGGGACTGTCATAGATTTAAAAGACAGGGAAGGTCACATTACTCCTACAGCCAGCTTTGGCAACCATGCTTTTGAGAGTCTCGAATCTTTCCGGATCTTTTTCAAACGCCCATACTTTTCCACTCGTACCAACTAATGCGCTAAGCATTGTGGTCTTGTTTCCAGGAGCTGCTGTAGCATCAATCACACACATACGCCGTTTAGATTCCTCGGGCGTCGGGCTTCCCAAAAGAAGCTGGGCGGGCATGCAAGAGGCCTTATCCTGCGCGATCAATCTACCATCAAGGTAGGGCGCCAATGTGTTGATGTTGACGGTCCGAGGAAGGGCTAGTACACATGTCAGATGGACATCACGTGCAAAGACCTGCTGTTTGTCTTCTGCTCTCTGAATAAAGTCATCGAAGTGAATCTCAGTCCAGCCAGACGCAACGAACCAATCCACGGCATCCTCGACACTCCATTTGATTATGTTCACACGCATCCATCTTATTGTTGCTGGTGATTCCTCATCCTCGTCGTGGATTTTTGTGGAAGCGCCTTCATTATTCACGCTTTCATCGAACAGAGCCTTGTGTTTTGAGATCTCAGAGGAAAGGAGCTGAGAGTGTGCTTCGACCGCCTGCCTCAGTTTATGACCTTTTGATAAAGAGATCCCACGTTGGGCAAATAGTAGGTCGTGAACTAGGAGAGTTGCCAGGGTTTCTGGGTTGGGGTAAGCGTGGAGATTTCGGGAGGGTGTAGCTGTTTTCCCGGGTGAGTATGCAAATGCTTTCTTTTCCTTGTTAAGTAGATCTATATTCTTCAATGTGATACGAATCGCCTGGCGGTCTGACAAGATCATCAGCTATCTTGGCAAGTTGATCAAGGGAGCTAGAGTTCGTCACACACATCTCAACGTCTGGGCCACCACTCTCAACAATCGCTTTCCATCACTGATGCGCCTGGCAGAATCCGCGGGTGATGACTTGTGGCGATTATGACTGGTCTTAGTATCGGAACCGGCAAGACGAAATACGATCCCTTTGAGGCTGCCTTGACGCTGATCTAAAAGATCTATCGCACGAGCTGCTTTGTTATAAAAATCCATCGTGAATGATCTGGAGGTGGAAGTATGGCGGAGTGGTAGAAAAGATGTCGATCATCAACTTTTTCTGGTCAACGAGAGACTTGACTTTTTTTCAAACAAAAAAGTCTTCTCGTGCTCCGGGTCCGACTCCCAGTACGAGTGCGCCAACTCAGTGGGAGCGTGCCCGAGCCGGGCCATGGAGCGGACTCGCCTCGGGATTCCGTCGTACCCGAGAGCGCTCGGTACAGCCCGAGGCGAAGAATCCTCTGTTGACCTGATTTGACCTCCGGTGTTCAAACCTGCTGAGCCTTTTCATGTTTATTGGTTCTATCATTTTTTTCCCTACTTCAACCTATCTTCCGAAACTCTTGTTAGAACCGGCAAATTGTATCTGGAGTTCTAGAATTTCAATGGTGTGAGTGATCTCCTACCAAATATTTGTTCCGGCGGCCCTAGGTAGAAGAAAGATACGGATGCTTGGAAACTCCTACTACGAGCGATTACTTCCTCGTGAGCGTACCACGCGCTCGTCAGGGGATTAGTTGAGCTTACCTTTCTGGGCTTTTCAAACAATTTTCCGAATTCCCGGCTGCCCAAGATGGATTTTCCTTGGGTTACATCGCGGCATGCAAGTTGCTGTGTCCACGTTTGGCTGTGGTCTCACTGACATGCCGTGACGTTACATGAGGGTGATACGATAAACCACTTGAGCATCTTTCATTGCTTACACAGGACACTCGAGGTGATGGTTCCATAAGGCGGAGAATTTCGGTGGATTAGAAGCCATTTCGGCGTTCAACTGCTTTGCTTTCGGCCTGCATCTGATGGATCGCGATGGTATCCCAGGACGCAGTTGTGTCAGTGAGTGGACCTCTTGAACGCCCCTTTGTCAACAGCTATATACGGTAAACTCTTTGTGTCTTGTGAAGGCTTTAGCTCCAGGCTTTACAGGCTAGAAGGAGTATCAAATTGCAATTGCTTGTTCGAGCTTCAAGGTTCAAATCCTCGCTCGCCCTAGCTTGGGATCTGTAAATTGATTGAGGGCAGGTATGTACATGATCGGCTCACCGTCTACAGCGTGTCGATGCCCTGCCTTTGTCCGCTCACCTACGACAAAAGCAGTGGTCGATTGAGGTAAGCAAGAGCTCGTGCGTACTTACGCCGTCTTCACCCACTTCGCGCATCCTGGTGAATATCAACTGGTGGGTCACAAACTCATAAAGGAATTTTATTTTGAATGTGAAGCACCAGGAAGCACCCCTGACCTTCACCTTTTTCCAATCCATCGACGTACATAAATTTGGTCTTTAACATCTCATTCCACACCTTCGGTTCCCCTAGGCGCCTTCTTCGTCATGGTCAACTTATTAGAGGCCAAAAAGCTCCTAACGCTCTCAATACACCCTAAGAGTAAGCCTCAACTTGTATGGCAGTTTGTAGCGTACATATACTTATTTTATGTTCCATCCGCTTTCAGAAAACAAGAATCGATACCAGGCGTTATCATGGGGCGACGAGGATGAAAAGTACGAAGAAGAGTCTGCCCCTTCGAAGGAGACACAACCTCTGGACGAACCATCAGACATTGTTATCTCGATCCCACCAGATTACTCGCAGCAGTATTCCCCGATCACTTCTCTCAGTTCACCGAAACACATTCCACTTGATTGGAAGTCGAGCCTCGGTCCAAGAAAGAGCGTTTTACGTGGAGTGATCACTGAACCTACTGCTAAGGACGTCGTGCCATCTCGCAAGAATACGGTGAAATTATCACGTGCGGTGTCTAAGAAATGGAAGTCCGTCAGCCATTCTACTGTAATCCGACGTATCTTGACCGTATCGTCTACCCCGTCATGCAGGCCAGTGGGTGAAGATCGTTCTTAAATTTCAGCTTGAGCAATACAAGTTGAGTGCTTTTAGTCATTCTATTAGTTAATGTTTTCTCAATAAATAAACAAAGCCAATTAAACCTCTTCTCGTGTTTTTTCCAGCTTTTTTTGAAATCTGAGTGCTCTGATCCTTGCAGCCTTTACTTCGGTTTCTATTTCTTGTAAACCCACCTCGATCGCAAGACTCAACCCACTTCATCAATGACGTTGGTCGCTTGTGAACAGGGCGGCCTGACTCTCTGATCCTGACAATTAGGATGCGAGCGCCGGGAATCCCATCCATTTTTGTAGTATTAATTTAGGCTTATCAATATTTACACCGCTCTTTCTTGACATTAGCCCCCCTCGTACGGCGTGCCAGGTTCCATAATTCTCTCAATTCATCTTCATCTCTTCGGGGTTGAGCTTGACATTAGAGGTGGAACTGTTGGGATCTGGAACTGTTACCATTTCCCTGTATCAAACTGTGACTCAAACCACGAAATTTGAAAATTGTTCTTCAATCACAACATGAGCACCACCCAAAACCCTGAACTTTATCTTGTCAGACAAATCGGGATATCTGATTGGATGATCCACTTTCAGGCTCCTTGGTTAAGATGTCCCATGTGTGTAATGCCCAACAATCAGCAGAACGCGCTGGCGGGTTGATAACCTAGGACAGATGCGCGCATCCAAAGCTGCTGCCTGAGGCTGCAGGCTGTTCATCTGACATCATAATCCAAATGGTGCAGGTGTCAAACCAAATGCCTGAGGCTGCCGCTATAGTGAGTCAATGAGGTCCTCGATGCAAAGTGAAGCATGAATGAGCATGATTTTGAAGAAGTTTGTCTTAAAAATCACGTGGAAGAACTGGATAGAGAATGCTTCCATCTTTTTTGTGGTGCATGGAGCAAAACTAGGCAATAAAAGTAAAATGATCTGGTTTTCTCCCCAAATATCCTGATAAGCGTCAAATTGAAGCTCTCCCTCTTCTGTTTGTTTCCTTTACTATCTAGATTCATTGAACCAGTACTTCATATGTACCAAACTTACATTCCTGCCTATCACTCACTGACGAAATTGCATCTTGGACTTTACAGTGGCACTGTATCTTCAGACGAAAAAGGAAGAGGTTACTGAAAATGAAGATATGAATATGCAATTTCCAGGGAGCGCTTCAAATTTTTCAAGATGCAATAAAGTCTACAATAAAATGCTAATAGCTATATTCTCATGACAGGGGTCAAATCGGTTGAAGTTCTATGACTAATTTATTGATACGTGATAAATTACCCTTGCAGCGAAGGCAAGAAGATCAGGTGATGGGCAGCGAACATCTTCTCAGACAAACTATATAACCAACCATGTAGATCAGGCTTTAGAATAAGAGGTCGTTCGGGTTTACCCAAGTTTCTTGATATATCTCACAATCAACTTTTAGTCATTCATATATCAATGATCAATCCACCAGAGTATTGAAATTCGAAGTTGAATGTTATCGCTTGACGTACAGTCTCAGATCGCTTTCCAACTTGTTTGTGAGTGGTCTCTTCCGAGGTATTGAGTCTGAATCGAATTGGTCTTCATGAATATGTTCAACTTCTACGTTTGATACCGATCGTATTTTGCTGGACTGAGAATAATGGCAAGTTGATAAGGATGAGTTCAGGTTGGGGTTCAAGATTCAAATTGATCGGTTAGACAATGGATTTTCATTTTGTCTTCAATCGTTATCATCTAAAATTTGAAACTGCAACTTATGACGATAGACAATTCCAATTTTGATTCTGAATTTATGAATCCGACTTTTGATGTTTGATGTTTGATTATCCAGTTTGATGGAATTGAATGAAGAATATCCCGTAGTCGAATTGGAAGAATGATATGTACATAATTGATTATGGTAAATTCATTTGCAGGTTCATTTGGCGCTGGGGAGGATCTGAGGGAATAATTATGTCACATTTGGACATATCCTATGTGAGATTTCTCGGGATGGGCTTCTCAGGATGTCCTTGATTTAGGGGGAAATGATTCATCAGATACCCTCTAGGCTGTAAGAGGACGTTTCTATGTATTGCTTCCTCTTATTCACTCGTGCTCACCCCTTTCAAGAGCTTCCATGACCCCGAAGCGTTCTATCACCAAAAGTAAAGACTCATTTGAAGATTTAGCGAAGGTTGTGACAAACCCATTTGACTATCATTTTATCTTGTCATCTAACGTCTCCCCCGTGACAAATAATCAAGGGAGATCATAGCCCAAATTCAAGCCATTGGGATGTTGAGGGGCGCTCCAAGTAAACTGATGAGGGTATCCCATTTGCTGATTCTTCAACTTCATAAAAGAAAACGCCAACACTGAGCTTCCTGGAACTTCAAAGACAAACCGCCGATTTGATTTTTTAAGTCCAGGAAGAAACCACAAAACCTTCGATCCTCGCCTTCTACTAGCGGCGCATCATAGCCGAAGGAGATACTCATACAAAACTGTTGGATTTCATCTGCACCGTCTATCTCAGGACTTGCTCACCTTGTTCCTAAGATCTTGCTGAGAGGGTTGACCTAATGAGAGGTAGTGGCCAATATGTCGTATGATGTCATTGTTGATGGATTGCCTACTATATCTTATTACAGGGCAGTATGGGAAATCCCTTTCCCGTTTTTTTCATTCTCCTAGTGGAGATTGAACCTTCCCTTTGAAGGTCATGTGCGTGTGGAAGAAAAATTGTGATTCAGACTGTAAACTCGCAGACCTCCTGAGAATATAAAAAGAATGGGTATCTTGAAATACGTCTTTCTGTCTCCCAATTCACAATCTCATTGACAAACACAACCTGATACATCTTCTTTTGATTTTTCTTGCATTTCTTGCCTTTATCTTGATTTTAAAAGCTCATCATCACTCCTAAACTCAACCAAGGCAGTGATCATATCGACTTGTTCACTTTACACCGCACGCCTCCTCTGCCTTGTTCTCGGCATTTTGCACTCCGTGTGATTTAAACACCGCCCCGCTCTAGACCCTCACCACCAGGCACTCAGTACAGATTCGGTGACCTTCCTGAACCCTCTGATTTATTTTCGTCTCTGGTTAGTTTCACAGTCACAGTCTCTTTTAATTCTCACCGAAATCACGCCTTAACTTTCTTTCCATTTATAAACCTCTGGTCTCCCGGCATTTCTCGCCCCAACTCGATCCGAATTTGTTGCCATTCTCATAACGTCTCCATATCAATCGACTTATCATTCTCAGCTACCCATCAACACCCTTGAAAGCTTCGTAATTTCGGGCCCATCTCTTGCTACTCTCGATTCCATACCATTCACAAAAAAATCTCAAATCCAACACCAAAAATCAAAGACGATGAAATTCTTCAGTTACATTTTCCCTTTTGCCCCTTCGGTATCACCCCAAAGTTCGCGTCAGTCGCCATTCTTTTCCTCTTTCATCTTATTTTATCTGCGATTCTTTTGTTCCATGTAAGAACACAATGGCTCAATTTTCTGTTCTTTATTTTCCATCAAACAGCCAGGCTCGAAGAGCAACGACCACTGGCAGATACCTCTGACTCGCCACCTCCATATGTATCACTCTACCCTAACAAGATTGCAATCAATTCAGAGTCTCAATCACATTATCATCTCGATCAAAAATCTCAACAAGCAAGACCTTTCCCTAAAGATTGGCAAACTTCAGTAGGACCCACGAATAGCGTCTTACGTGGTACGGCTAGACCGGATGAGAATGTAGGCCGAAGAGATGAAACAACAGCATAACGATTCCCCCCTCTGGTGCTTGTGAGTCATTTCCTCTCTTCGACCTTTGGCATTTCTATCACTCTGTTTCTAAGAATGTTCCATTTCTTATCAGTTTAGACAAAAGTGACTAAGATGAGGTACATGGAATCTCTAAGTAGCAACGAGCAGCATGAGAATATACTCAACCCATCTACTCGCACCTCAACTTCCAAATACAATTATCCACACTTTCTATTTTTCGATTATTTTGTTTTTCGTCCATTTCTTGTTTTTGTTCTACTTTTTTATTCTATATCTTCAACAACATGTAATATTCTATATCTATAGACAGTTTTAACTTAGACTTTCCTATTGTAATATTATTATCATCTTTCAAATCATTCACACATTTGTCAAAAGAAGCGAAACCACTGTCTTTTTTGTGAGCTTTGTTTTGAGCAGTCTTTTGACTTTAAGGCCAATTAATAAAACTATTCATTTCTTGAACAAATTCGTAGTGAAATGGTTATAAGAAAAACAACAAAAGCCCATAAGAGAAAGAGTCTTTTAAATGATCATTAAGATTGAATGACTAAAATATAGAAGTGAAGTACAAAATGAACAAGGGTGTAAAAAGAATGGATTGGCTTATTGGAATAGTATCTTGATCACATCTCTTGAATACTTTGAGGGAGATTGTTGACCATGAATGGTGAACAGCTCTAATTGGACATTGTATCTTTTCACTTGTGTTTCTGACTCCTGCACATGCAAATCCCAACTGATCATTGTCAATCTCGTGAATACCGATTCTACAAATGTGAACTGTTTATTCTCCGCTACTCATTGACTTTGAGAACGCGCTGTGATTCACTGATCCCACGTGTTAATCTCGATGCCATATCATCTAGAAACAATTGAAATTCTTCACTTCTACCCAAACACCCAAATCAAACAAGATGAATTTTTGGGTTATATTTTCAGTTTTATCACTTCGTTATCATCCCGAAGTTCGCGTCCTATGTACCATTTTATGTCTCTCCTTTTTGAAGTTCTTTTCTCTCTGCAAATCAGAACACAAATACTTAATTTTCTCATATTCATATAACACCACAGCCATGCTCGAAGAGCAACTTGTATCCACACTTACGTCACCACCACCAACCATATCCAACAATCAACTCGAACAAGATTGTGTTGAGTTCTGAACCTGAATTACAATATCATCTTGATCAAAAACCCCAACAAAGACAACATCTCTCGAGAAATTGACAAGCTTCAGTGGACCCAATGACTAGCGTCTTACGCGGTACAGCTAGACCAGATGGGAAGCCAGGCAGACGAGCAACAGTATACATATATATACTTTTTGTGAGCTATCTCTTCTTTATTTTATCTGTCATGTTTTTTTACTGGACTTTTTTTATACCGGAGCAAATTTGTATTTGGGGATACGCACCTACAAGTTCACTTCTTTCATACAAGCTATTATTACCAGAATTCAGCCACTATTCCAGTTGCTTTCAAAGGTACAGCTTCCTAGAGTATAAAGTTTAAACCTCAACATCCATTAATGATCTTCAAGTCAAAAGATTTCAATCTGGTCAACTTTCAAGGTCTCGGTAATTTTCTTCCATTCAACTTTTCCATTCTTTGTTTTTGTTTTCGTTCAAGTGATTGTTCTTCGATTTGAATTTTCTTCCAGTTGCATTGGAATTGAGCATTGACCGCGAAGTCTGGAACGTCGATCACCAATAGCTGATTGCCAATCGTTCGGAAGAGGTCTGGCTTCTAGCTTCTGGCACTGCGAAGGATGTTTTCTTGTAATTCTAACTAAGTTTGATAAACCGGTAAGAGAAAGTTCAATGAGTTGCCAGTGGATGGGATCATAAAGAACCAAAAGACTTACTCAAAATGGATGATTGAGTGAATGATGAGAAGAACTTCTCGAGTCTTGATCTCACACGTTTGACTTTTATCATGATTTGAAATTTTTTAGATTGTAGTTTGTCCAGGGATTATTAAAGGTCAAGATTATTAATGATGTCAAGTCGACCCCGGAGTTCGGTCCGAGATAGATCAAGATGTAGGAGAAGATGATGGTGAAGGTGGTTTTAACATATGAATTGATGGTGATATGACTTTTTCATATAAGACCACATGAAAACAACGATGATAGGCATCACCATGAGGGGATATTGAGTGTCAGATATTGTGGGGGGGAGATAGGGAGAATATGAGATAAGATTGAATTCGCCAAGTTGATGACTCCTTGGATGCCCGCCCCCACCGATGAAATCTCTTTCAAGATTAAGAACTGATTTTGATTGGAGTTAGAGATACATACTCCTGTTGCTCTTCAACAAATCTAAGAACTGATTGAGAGAGGTGAGGCCCGCGTATCATTCACGAGTCATCAATAAATGAGATAAATACTCAAGACCAAATCTGCTACCATCTGCGTGACTTTCATGTAGTTTGCAAGAAATCATCATCGTGTCTGACTCCTGGTAAGGTTTGAGAAAGTAAATTGAAAGTGTTGGTTTATGTAATCCTTCGATCCATATTCAATCATGCCTGCTCAACCTATCAAAGCCCCTCCCTCACGAGTAGTCGAGGTTGAGTAGACATTGACTGGCTGTTTTTTCATGAGCCATCTCGGTATCAGTCATCAAGATTGATCGCATCATAAACATCTTCAGGGGCAGTTAGGGGCGTGTACTTGTTCTACCGCCCCAGGGATACCGAAGTTTTTCATTGAGCAATTCTCAAGCTTGAAATCGTTGTCTTCCATATCTGCAAAGTCGATTTCACAAGGCCCGAGTTCGCCAGTAAAACTCCAACAGGATGGCGGGGAATTCAGTACTTTTTCGGGTCTTACACTTGCAGCTTGTAATTTTGTAAAGCTTGTCCCCTTCGCTGCGCCTCTTTTATCAACCTTCCAATTCGGTCCTAAGAAAAATGATGAGGATTTTGTTTTGAGCGTATGAAACGGCTATGCTATATTGCTTTGGATCACGAAACTATGACCCTTCAAATTTGGATACGAAACCAACAACCTGAATGAAGAAAACAGCGGTGGAAGACAGGAAGGTAAAACAGCGGAGTTTGTCGAACAAAGAGGTGAACACAATTGGACCACCTTGAGTGTTTGTAGAGCGGAGTCTGTTCTTCGCCGAGCTCAATTCGGTGTGTTGTAGAGTGATTGGTGGAAACCCTCAGAGGGGATTCGGGAAGCCATGGTGTGGATGCACAGAGTTTGACAGTGAGTGGTGTTCTGTGGTGCTGAACTCTCGTGTCGATCAAGTTGTCTCAGTCAGGCTCAAATCGATTTGGACATCTTCAAACTCTTCAACACCATCAACTCACCAATCAAACTACCATGGATAACATCGCACTCATCGATCCAGATCTCCCTCTAATTCAACCATTACCTTCACCTACTTATTATCCATTCGCAACCTTAACCAAACCAATTCATCATCCTGGAATCTTCTTACTCGAATTACATTCTCCACCTGATAATCGACTTACTCAACAATTCATCATTCATACTGTTAGTCAATCAAAAACAATCACATATCGAGCTTAATACTAATTCGGGATCTTCTCTTAGGTTTTACCTGCTCTTTCAGATGTCGAGAGAGAATTTAGAGCTTCTCGTATCAATAAGCTCGCACCGGCCGATGGATCTAGTTCAGGTTGGTTTTTGTTAGACAAAACTCACATTCGAATTCGAATCAACGATTGAAAGGATTTGATCACCACTACCAGGTTGGAAATCACCCGAATCACCAGGTCAATATGCATTAGTCACTTGCGGTTCTTTGGATAAGAATAGGATTTACAGTAATGGATTAGATCTTCAACAAGCATTTGCAGACGAAGGCTTCTTTAGACGTTAGTGTTGGTTTTTATGGTTTTCAATGACGATTTGGACTAGAGATGATCTGATTGAAATTGGCGTTTGATAGTTGTATTGAACAAAATGTACTTGAAGCTTTTCACTTTTCCGATCCCTACCGTAGCAGCTCTCAATGGTCATGCCTTTGCGTAAGCTCTCCTTTTCTGTATGAGCTTATTGTATGCTTCCTATAACGGATGTCTGATTTCAATTTTTTGGATCTCTCATAGTGGAGGGTTTGTCTTAGCTTTGAGTCATGATTATAGAGTGATGAAAGATAACAAAGCAAAGGGTAAAGCAGTGATGGCTATGAATGAAATTGAATTTGGAGCAAGCGTTCCGGTCAGTGATCATCGCCTGATCTTTTTTTTCGTCCCATAGAACTACAACACGTTAAAATGCGTAGGACTGACTTGGCTTCTGACTGTGTGACAAAGTAGCGAGGTTTGTTGGCTGTTTTAGAAGCCAAGTTACCAAATAAACAACAAGTCCAACGATGTTTACTCGAAGCACATCGATACGACTTTCAAGAAGCGTGAGTATTTTTTAGCAATTGACATCAGTCATTCCTTTTGTCTCCTGTCTTGATGGCTCTTTTTTGATATATGAAGACTTAAGCTAGGTATCATTGACCAAATCGCACCTGAAGCCGATTTGATCAATCAAGCTCTTCAACTCGCGTCCCAGAAATCAATCCGTGCCACCACTGGAGTTTATGACCTCATCAAGGTTTGCACCTTTTTACCTTGACTTTCAATTGACAAAGTATCCAGTTTCTGACTTTGTATTTTTTCTTTAGGCCGATCTATATAAAAAGACGATCAAGATTTTGACAAACACAGATGAAGGTTATATTCATTATGGTTCAGCAAATGCAAGGAAATTACATCAGTTGGGTATCAAGCATTTTGGAGTTTCTTCAAAACCTAAGTTATAGAGGAAATAAATTGAACTTCGAAATATAAGCTACATGTTCAGGTTAATATTGCAACGTGAAATGATTAGTTCATGTAGGGATTTTAAGACTATCAAAGAAAGATTTTGTAAGTGATTTAGAACATTTGTAGGTTTAAAATAGCAGATGAGGTTCATATGTATATACTTTTTTTAAGATTATGTAATGTTTAACACAGCACTGGTATTGTGACCAATAGGACACCTCTAATTTAGATTCTGTTTCCTTCCTTTTTGATCCATCTTGTCTAAATATGGTTTACAGTCCAATCTTATGTTAAGGTGGGATAATTACCAAAGTCAATGGTATGCTTATCTTTCTAGAGCAAGAATAAATTCTTATTGTCAAATATTGACTTCATCTTGGAGATCAATACCCCACGGATATACTTTATCTTGTGAAGCTTGTGTTGGGGTGATAGCTATGATGGTCAGGGTGAGCATAGCAAGAAGTTACTGGACCATGTGTCTCACATCTTGTTTAGAGTTTCACATTGGTGCTTCACATACAGAGTACCACCATGTCGCACCAGCATGACAGATAAGTTCTGAGAAAGCAAAGAGTCTTTGTTGTGCCAGTGTAAGTCACAATTTTGAGGTATGTTGCATTGGTGAATTTGAATGAACCAAGGAGAAAAGATATGTACAATATCAGGATGATACTATGTGCAATCCCAATGACCATATATCTGGGAGGAGTTCATTTCAACTTGATTTTGTATATGTTTCCTTTGTAGGCTCCAGATGCTTGAAGTTTTTTGTAAATACATAGGTAGTAGTGGGTTGCTCTGGAGCTTCCCAGAGCCTTGTTCATGCACTATCTTGATTGATATCTTGATCTTGATACCAACAGAACATGAATGAAAGGTTTCAAGAAGTTGCTGACAACAGTTAAACAGAGAATCTTCATGAGAGCGGGTGATCCGTGCGAAAGGTGCGGTCATGCGCTGTGGTTTCAGATTACAGTCAAACCTCGATGTAAGCATCGAGTATGTATGCATATCACACTTTAAGCATTGAAAATTGTGCGCTGATTTTTGCTCCTACCAGCAACGGTGCCACTGTTACTTTACTGGTATCGGTATCGTAGCAGTATCGTAACTGGTGTTGAGTATTATATTGATGTTACTCAGTATCGGGTTTCCGATATGTTACTTGGGCTAGGTCCTCATAGGTATCGAAGTTTTGATACCAGTATTGGGTATCGTAACTGAGAAGCGATACAATACCCTGTATCAGCCGATACTGGTATTGGGTATCGATGGTATCTGACCAAAACCCAAGCCCGAGTGGAACTGGCTCCGAATCGGAGGCAGCAGGGGATCATGAGCTGCGCTATAGTTTCAATTATTGTATAATAGTCATTATCGCACCTATTCAATCCACCCTTTTCTATCGCTCAGACATGGCTTGGCACATCAACGTCACCAAATGGGCCAACATGTGGTCAGACCCACCTGAAAACGAAGGAGGAAATTCGATAGAGGTTAGAATCTTTTATCATTTGGTAGATTTTGAAAAGAATACTGACCCAAACGATTTGTTACTAACTTTTAAATATTATTCTTTTATCTTGTTTTATTTCTCATTTGATCAACTTCCTCCAAGATGCCTACGTCTCGTAAAAACCGTGATGATGCAAGCTCGCAACCACCATCTCCTACTCCCCGTCGCACAACGCGTGTTACACCTCTTCGTCAAAGGTCTTCCTCCATGATTCAACCTCCTGCCGACTCGAGATTATCAATTCAATCAGAAAGCGAATATGAATCCGACTTACAAAAAAACCTAGTCAACAAAAAAAACAAGCATAAAAAACGAATTGAAATCGAATCAGCCGTCGAATCGGAGTCAGATGCCTCTCAAGCTCAAAAAAACAATAAAAAAAAAAGCAAGCGTCAACGGATTGAATCTGAATTAGTGGATGAATCAGAAGGCTCAGTCAATCAAAGTCGAAGCAATAAGCAAAAGCGAAGTAAGACAGCGGTGGCGAAGAAACCTCACAAGAAAAATCAGGTATGTTACATTTCATGCTTCACTTATGTGGCACCCGATTCCTATACACAGCTGACCTCAAGTTCATACTATTGTCTGTGTAGAGGTCTTTGGCCTCACCCGCTTCGTCAACTCAGCCTAACGTTGTTGTGGACCTGGCACAAGATTCGGAAGACGAACATGTGAAAGCTCATCCGCGCAAGAAACCAAAATCCGAGGCACCAGATTCTGAGGTAGGCAAGGAATACGATAACATAAGGGATTATTTCAAAAAAAACCCTGTTCGTGGAGGGAACGATGTAAGTAACAAACAAATACATATTTGGTCATTCTTTTTCATTTCTTAACCTTTACTCGGTCATGTGAGGAAGTGGAAGCTAAAGCGGTTGTGGGATTTATGTAGCCCGAGGAAGGTCCTTACAACTCATTTACTTGCAAGTGGTGTGGCGAGGATGCACGAGCGAGCGGTGGTTCTCCTACCAATCTTTTTGTTCACCGCGATGGCGCCAAACAAGCAAGTAAATCAGGAAAGCCTGGTTGCAAAATGCGCCATCGAGCTATTGCTGCTGGTTGTCGGCTTCCCAAGACAGCTTTTGAGAAACGCCAAATTGCCAGTCAAGTTGAAAAGGCCAACTCAACCCAGCTTAGCATGGACTCTTTTACTCACAAGCAATCTCGATTCTCCAACTCCATCTTGAACCAAATGATCGGATACTGGGTTATTCGCACATCTCAGCCTTGGCTCCGAATGGAAGATGAGGCCCTTCGCGCCTGTTTTCGATATGCAAATCCTCAAGCCCAGGTTTATGGTCGAACATGGGTAGCTGCCTTTGCTCATAAAGCATACCTTGGCCTTCGAACATCAGTCATTTCTGAACTTCAAGTAAGTTGATCATCTTCTTTATGTTTTGATATTGTCTTTCTGATTCGTTTGATCACAGGATCTTGATTCAAAGTTCGGATTAGTGCTTGATGCTTGGACTTCACCACGTAACCGTTATGGATTCATATCGGCTTCAGTCACGTACGTCAACAAGGATTGGGAGTTTGTAACCCGCCATCTTTCGATGAAGATGATAGCGTGGCATCACAAAGGGGAGTGGCTAGCAGAGCCTTTGGTGAATGTTCTTGTCAAACACAAGCTTTATACCAAGATCAGTCTTTCTTTCTATCTTTGTCTTAATCTTTTGTGCTGAGGCTGACATCCGACTTTGTAATTTCACATGATTTCTCAGACCCATGATTCAGGTAGCAACAACGATACTTGTGCTCGTGCTATGAAAGCTCGACTCACCAAGGCTGCTGAGGACAATCTTCAGCACTTCGATTGGGACCCAACTACCGATCGAGTCCGGTGTGCAGGCCATAAAGTGGCTCTCATAGTCAACGCTGGACTTCAAGCGCTGGGTATCAAAGCACCACCACCACCACTTGTCAAGTCCAGCATCCTTGGCGAATTTCCTTTACCTGAGCACACCATGCCAACAATCACCGAGGAAGACAAAGAAGATGAAGAATCAGCAAAAGACCAATTGCATCCAACAGACGAGCAAGAAGACAGCGATGAGGAGGACGACCTGGAAATGTCAAACGTACCTGGAACCGATGCTGGTGATCAATGGTATGGCATCATTGATGGGCCTTTTGAGGAACCTTTGGATGTTCCAGCCACCAACCGTAACGAGTCGAATGCAGTATATCAGTTGACTCAGCAGGTAAGTTCTCTCGAAATACTTGATATTTCACTTTTTATACTGATGACTAATGTAATTTAACTTAGCTCGATGACATTGCTCGAAAAATCGGTGGTTCATCAAGGATGTTATGTGTCTTTGATGCTACTTGTTCCAGCATGGGAGTCTCGTTCCCTCGACCAATTCCTGGATACGGTATCCGATGGAACATCAAGTTACAATGCTGGGACCGTTTGTATAAAGCAAGAGAGGTATGTATTGATCCCTCAATATCATCCGCTTTTATCCACTGCTCACCCCTTTATTATGAATGATACCTGTTACAGGTTATTGATCGGATGCTTAAGGACGACCAGCTGGAGGTTTCAAAAGACAAAAATAAGAAGAAAACCAGCCCAAGCGAACAGCCTTCTGATCCTTACTCCAATCGTCCTCGTGGAATTTTCAACAAGGTATTGATCACTCCTGACCAATGGAAGCAGATACATACATTGATAAAGATACTTCGGGTTAGTAATATTCATCTTAGCATTAGAATCTCACCATCTGACTTTATCATCGTCTTTTTTACTATGCATGTACTAGGGTTTTGAAACACTCACCAAATTCTTTGAGGCCGATGCCCCAACTGGTTCTATGATCATACCTGAGTATTTCAAATTGAAGAATTCACTTCAAGAGAAGATCGACGCCTGTTCATCTCGAGCCGACCCCTTTTTCCCAATGTACCATTCGATGCTGGTCCGAGTCACTGCTTATCTGCACGAAGCACTGCAGTCAAACGTATTAATTTTAGCTACCGCCCTTCATCCATCTTGGCGAATTGATTACTTTCAATGGGCTTTTGGAGCCGACTCAATTGAGCACAAAACTGCACGAAATTTGATTGAGATGGCATTCAAGGACAGAAAAAGTAAAGTCGAAAATGGAAATAAGGCTACCAGACAGACCGATCCGAAAGAAGATGATGAGGAAGAAGAAAGTGGTTACCGTGCACATAAAAAGAAATTCCAGAAACGAACCGAAAATGAACTTCGGGACTACTTTGAAGGTGCTGATGAACCTTCTACAGAAGTGGAGAAGGATCCACATTTGGCTCTGCAATGGTGGAAGGTACAACTCTCATTTCATTCGATATACAATACTTAAACCTCTGCTGACATTCTTTTTTCATGAAAAAGGTCAATGCTGGAAGATATCCAGTTTTATCTTCTCTGGCTCAAGACTATCTGGCTATCTGTGGAGCTTCCTGTGCAGTGGAGAGAACTTTCTCCGCTGCTGCAGACGTTTGCTGCCGAGATCGAGGGGCTTTAAAGCCTGCTACTGTTGAGCGCTCAGTAGCGGCTCGTCTCTGGTCAAAATCAGGTATTGTCATACATGGTAAAGAGTTTGAGCAGTCGCAAAAATGTATGGAAGAGTGTATTAAAGTGGACAAGGATCATCGGAAGCGGAGGGTTACAAATAAAGCAGCAAAATGAGTACTTGACTGGTTTTTTTTTGGTGATTCAAATGATGAGCTTTCATGTTATAATCTTTCTCATGGCCCTATCATACAAGTTGTAGGTAATTCATATTATGTTTTGAGCAGTTGGAGCAGCACAATACTGCTACTATATTGGTATTGTGACAGTATCGTGCAGTATCGCCTAGACCCACAATACCAGATACAGTATCGATATCGTAACGGTATTGTGATACGTTACCCAGGTCAGGTCCTTATAGGTATCGCAGTTTTGATACTGGTATCGAGTATCGTAACTAAAAGCGATATAATACTCAATACACATTTTGATGGTATCAAACTTCCGATACTATACCCGGTATCTGCAATACGATACCGGTATCGTAACTGTGGCACCGTTGCTACCAGCTAAAGTGCCTTGTGATGTATGCATATCACCTTATAAGCAAGAGAAAATCTGTGCCAATGTGAATTTCTATGAATCTTCTTCTTCCCTTCAACGTCATCTTCACTGAGTCATCTTCATCGTCATCGAATTCATTAAATTGTCATCATAAACCTTGTAGATTCTAATACCGAAGATCATACTAATCAAACTTACTTCATATATTCACGTATTCACGATGCCTAGTAAACGAAAACCATCTCCAAAGATAAACAAATCAACCCTACCTAATAGTGATCTCACTTCCGCAACTAAAGTAAATGAGAATACTAGTAAAAGAGTGGTATTATCTCCAATCATCAATCCTGCCTCAAATCCATCTAAATTACCAAATCCAATTTCTAAATCTGAACCTTCAAACCTCAAGAAACCAATCTCATACTCATTGCCAGATATAATTGATCTCACCATGTCCGACAAGAGCTCAGCGCCAATGACTATCTATCAACGTTTGTTGCCCTTTCTTAAACCCATCAGCCAATCCTTGTTTACCTTTGAGTATTCGACTCAAGCTTACCCTGTTGATCGTTGCTTGTTGTCCTTTCTAAGTTGCATTGGAAGACGATGGATCACCTTCAAAGGAAAAATCGGTTAGCCGCATTCTCTCTTTTGAGCTGATTGTTCTTTACTTGATAGCCACCCACAAAGCTTTTCATTTCATTAACAAGGAAAAGAGGGTTGATATTGAATTCTTACCATTCCTGTGTAACATTTAAACAGTACATCCGTTTACCCGCGCCATACGAACCTTATGCATTAAGGATTCTGATCGCAGCGGGAGCACGAAGTTCGAAAGCTGCAAGTCTCTTTACTAATTTCCCATTGGATCAAAGCGAATTTGATCGATCGAAGTTTCACGAAAAACCTTTACCTTCCGATACATCTAAACCGATTCAAGTCGATTTACCGATCACTAAAGCTGGAGTGTTTGAATTCTATTTTGAGTATGATGACACCAGCGATTCTCATGAAAAAAGAAGGATAAAAAGTCGATCAGGTTACTTCAATGTTGATCCGATCCTTTCGGTCGCTAGCAGGAAGTCTATACTCAAGACAAGTCAGGACCACTCAGTTCAAGTACTGCCCTTTGGTAAAACCGGCGAGACAATCGATAGGAATGCCCCTCTGGTTAACTTACCCCTCGATGGGCTTGTGATTCAAACCGTGATAGCGAAATGGATGGGAACTTTAAACAATTGGTCACCTTATCTCGATTTAATACGTGATCGGGGTTACAATATGATACATTTCACCCCACTTCAACAACGTGGAGAAAGCGGTAGCCCTTATAGTATCTTTGACCAACTGAGATTTGATCCTGAATTATTCGAAACTCAATCTTCATCCGCTGAGAAAGAGAAAGAAGAATTATCAACTTGGCTGAGTCGGATCAGAGATGAGTGGGGTATATTGAGTATGACGGACGTGGTTTGGAATCACACAGCTCATAACAGTCTATGGCTGAGGGATCATCCTGAATCAGGTCAATAACGATATTTGTATTCTTCCTTCTTAACAAACGGAACTATATTGGCTATCTAATCCATGCCAATCAGATACTGACCAAACTTTTATGTACTACAGGATATAATGTGCTAAACTCGCCACATCTAGAGCCAGCTTTGGAACTTGACAGCGCCCTACTCGAGCTATCTTCTCAACTGGCCAATAAAGGTCTTCCAGTCGAACTTAAATCATCTTCAGACTTGGATCAAATCATGAAAGCCATTGAGCATGAGTTGATGCCTCAACTCAAATTGTGGGAGTACTATGTGTTGGATGTCGATCAACTTGTCACTCAATTCCAGAAAGCTTGGAATTCTACTCAGTCCACCAACGATTCGTCCTCAAACTGGGCTCAACATGTTGATGCATTTGCACTCGAAGCTGCCTGTTTACCCTCATCGGATGATAAGGGTCAAGGAGGTTGGCGTGCAGTTACCGGTCCTCGATCGCATGCAACTCAAAAACTCAACCTTAAAGCGGCTGTGGAGTTTTTTCATTCCAAAGGTTTGAAGGAATGTGATCCTACGGTACCGGAGCTTTTCAAGCGCTTGCTGCAAGAGTTAAACGTTGATAGATATCGAGAGTATGATAATGATGTGATCACGATCTTGGGTAATATAAAGAACAGATTACAATACACTCGATTAGATGAAGGGGGTCCACGAATGGGACCTTTCAATGAAAAGTAAGCCGAACCCTGACCTCTTTCTCGAATCTGATTCACTCGCTCTTTTGTCCGACGGTGCTCAATTGAATGTTTTTCTGGGGGGCTACTGCGAATTGGATAGATATCCCTTGATCGAGACCTTGTTTACCAGATTAGAAGTAAACGAAACGACCAAAAAACACGATCCACGCTCATTAGCATTAGCGAACAACGGGTGGATCTGGAATGCGAATCCGCTCGAAGATTTTGCTTCTCCATCTTCCAAAGCGTATCTGAGAAGAGAAGTTATAGTCTGGGGAGATTGTGTCAAGTTGAGATATGGTAAAGGAGAAAGCGATAATCCTTTCTTATGGAAGAAGATGAAAGAATATACTACGTTACTAGCTAGTCTCTTTCATGGTTTTAGAATTGATAATTGCCATTCGACTCCAATTCATGTCGGCGAAGCTTTACTCGATGTCGCCAGGCGAGTTAGACCGGATCTCTATGTTTGTGCCGAACTCTTCACGGGTAGTGAAGAGATGGATACGTACTTTGTTAGTCGACTAGGCATCAATAGTTTGATAAGAGAAGCGATGAAGTGAGTGATGATCCTTAGTTCTTTTCGCTCTCTCGTGATCACCCGAATTTTCAAGTGACGCTTGTCCATCCATCGTAGTGGTCACGATCCGAAAGATCAAAGTCGATTGCTCTATAACTATGGATTAGGTAAACCTATCGGATCAATGGATACGGACGTTCTTACCGAACAATCAACTGTTGTTGATTCCTCAACAGGGCATTCGAAGCCGTGTCAAATCGTTCCATTACATGGATCAAGGCCACATGCGTTTTTAATGGATTGCACTCATGATAATGAATCCCCATCCAAGAAGCGAACAGCACGCGATGCGCTCTCGACTGGTGCCCTGGTCGCTTTCTCTTATGCGGCTGTAGGTTCGAACAAAGGATTTGATGATCTTTATCCCGAGTTGTTAGACCTTGTCAAAGAGAAGAGAATGTATGAGAAGGTTGATGTTGCTCACGGGATAGGCAGCTGGAAGAGGATATTGAATCATCTGCATACGGAGATGATCCTGGAAGGTTATAAAGAGGGTCACTTTCATCAAGAAAATGATGTTCGTTCCTCTTTGCTTTCCTCTTCTGTTGTCCCTTTGTCTTTGATCTTGCCTAAGTATTTTATGCTCATTTCGCGTTCGAAAAACCTCACTTCTTGCAAAAGTATATTATCTCACATCGGGTTCACCCATCTACTCATCATGGATATCTTTTAGTTGCTCACACAGCTTTCCATGGTGATGGGACTGATCGAGGCCACGGTGAGCTCATTTTGGTATCTTCGTCTTGGCACATGTTATTGACTTGTCGGAACTTTACAACAATTTTTGCGATGCACGCAGTCGAGCCGATGAGATTAAGGGGCACAAAAGCGCAATTTATACTTGGATCCACGCTTGAAGTTGTCTCTAACAAGGACGCATCCGATGCTAAAACACTGAAAGGTCTTGACTCTAAACTTACTCCGATTGAAGCTAACGCCACGGATATAATTTGCTTGGGGTCTGATGGCGAAGGCAATTATGTGGATATCAAGGTTCCGTCAAAATTTCCTCCCGGAAGTGTGATGCTTTTCTCCACTTGGATGGAAGGTATGAAAGTGGAAGGCGAAGGAGGAGCCACGAAAAGTTTAGAATCAATGATGAGATCAGGTGCAGAGCAAGCCTTTGGAAACCTTTCAATCCTCGATTTGAATGTGGTCCTCTTTAGAACAGATGGCGAGGAACGTGACATATCGGGTGGCAAGGATGGGATCTACAATGTACCAGGCCTTCATCCGGCGTTGACTTACTGTGGGCTCGAAGGATGGATGTTTGGATTGAGACATGTCATTCGTAGCAATGACTTGGGTCATCCGCTCTGTGCACATCTTCGAGATGGACCGTGGGCTTTCGATTATGTGGTAGGCCGGTTGAAGAAGTAAGTGGTTCAGAAGGTCTCTTCATGGGTTGATTGAGCTCATGCGAGCTGTTTCTGTTCTGAAGTCATTTGGAATATTTCCCGAACTTGGACAAGCCAGTCAAGTGGTTTGAAGAACGAGTCAAGGTGATCAAAGATTCAGTCCCAGCCTTTCTTCGACCTAAATATTTTGCTCTTTTGATCTACGCCGCATATCGAGCTGGTAGAGCAAGAGTGATTGATCAATGTTCAGAGTTTGTCAAGAACGGTACTGATTTTGTGCACACGTTGGCGATGAGTGCGATCCAAATGTATGGAGTTGTACAATCCAGTTCATTAGACTCCAACAAATTAGTAGGATCTGTAGCAGCTGGTCTACCACATTTCAGTTCAGGCTGGGCTAGAACTTGGGGTCGGGATTGCGGGATCAGTGCATCGGGATTGTTCGTCAAGACTGGACTTTGGGAACCTGCTCGGGCTCATATTTTGTGTTTCTGCACGACTCTTAAACATGGATTGATGCCTAACTTATTAGATTCGGTTAGAACCCCGAGATACAACTCTAGAGATGCACCTTGGTTTATTTTACAACTATTGCAAGATTATGTCAAACATTCTGAAGAAGGTGAAAGTTTTCTAGATGTGGAGATCTCCAGACGGTTTCCCAAGTCGGATGAATGGGTCAGTTGGGATGATGAGAAAGCTTACAAGGAGAAGATGAAAGTGATTGAAGTGGTTGAAGAAGTGTTGGAAAGACACGCAAATGGCATTCATTTTCGTGAATACAACGCTGGACCAGCAATCGATTGCCAGATGAAAGATATTGGATTTAACATTGATATCGAGGTAGATTGGAACTCTGGTTTGATCCATGGTGGAAATGAGTTTAATTGCGGGTACGTTTAAGGAAATGTGTTCTTTTGTCTGCGCTTTTTGTTTGCTGATGACCTTGATGAGAATTGATTTCCGCAGGACTTGGATGGATAAGATGGGAGAGTCTGAGAAGGCTGGGAATAAAGGGATTCCAGGTACATCCAGAGATGGAGCGCCGGTTGAGATCACTGGGTTGATCTATAGTACATTGAGATGGATGGAAAAACTCTCGGATGCAGGCAAAGTAAAGAAGGATGGGGTCGAGATCACCAGTAAGGATTGCTTCCAATGTTTCTACAAGTGAACTTCGTGTGATTGATGTTGACGTTATTCATGTGTCTTTGCTACTGGGAAAACCCAGAAAACGGGACGAAGACTGTGACTAAGTATCGAGATTGGGCTGACTTGATACGTGATAACTTCGAGAAGAAATACTATGTGCCGTTAGGTAAGTGTTTTAAGTCGAGAGATTACATTTATGAATTTAACCGATGAGGCTGGTTGGATTGCAGATCCAAAGGAAGACTCGAAGTACGAGATTGAACCGAATCTAGTAACTCGCAGAGGCATCTACAAGGACGTCTATGGTCAGCCATAGAATTTGTATGTATGTATCCCCGCTCTAGGCAAGACTGATCATTCCGAACGGATAAAATTCTAGGTACTCCAAGTGAACGAGCTCATGCAGATTATCAATTGAGACCGAATTTTCCAATCGCGATGGTTGTTGCTCCCGATCTCTTTGATCGAGATCATGCTCATGAAGCACTTCGAACAGTCAAACAGGCTTTGATGGGACCACTTGGGATGAAGACACTCGATCCAAAGGAGAGCGATTATAGACCAAATTATGATAATTCTAACGACTCGCATGATTGGCACGTCGCCAAGGGAAGGAACGTGAGTGATTTGTTTTGGTATGGCTTTAAAGTCGGTGATGTATACTGATCATCTATCTTATTTTTTTGGAAAATAAATGTCAGTATCATCAAGGACCTGTAAGTATTTTCATTCAGTTGCACTATCCATGTGGGCATCATGAGAAATAAAGAGGCTTATTCAAGACTTTTTTGTGTGTGGGCGTTCCTCCAAAGGAATGGGTTTGGCCTGTTGGGTATTTCTTGAGGGCTTATCTAAAGTTCGATTTGAAGGATCAAAAGGTATTGCACATTTTAGATTGATCTTCATATCGATAAAAAAAAATCGAGCCTTGAAGACCAAGACTGATTAAATTGTCTTATTGTGGTTTCAAAGGAGCGTGGAGAAACGATCCACGAGATTCATTCGATGTTAGCGGCTCATCGCAAACATCTTATACACGATCCTTGGGCTGGTTTACCCGAATTGACTAATGAGAATGGGAATCATTGCAAAGACAGTTGCGAGAGTCAGGCTTGGTCGTACGTTCATTGAATTTTGATCTCCCCTTACCCATCCGATGCGAGAGTTGACTAAATGGACTTTTGGGGTTGATCAGGACATCGACTTTGTTGGACGCTTTGTTTGATGTAAGTGTATTTGTTCATAACTTGATGGATATAAGACAAACTGATTGTGTTTTATTATGTAGATTTATGAAGAGCAGAAACAATTATTAGCTTAAGACGTTGAGGTAGGCAAGTCTTTTCCTTACATGAAGAGAAGATTCCAAGTAATCAAAGTTGTAAAATTGCCAATGATGTTTGGCAAGATATGGGGGTGATAACTTCAATCTAAGAAAAGGATAATGATGTAGGAGATAGTATGAGTGTATTTTGAAGCAATCTTGTTGTATCTAGTTCGCAAGCAATTAGCATATTTTTAGGCTTTTATGTAAGTCATCAATCAAGGATGTGTTTAGTAAAATAGTAAGGCAGAAAGCATTTTGAGATAGGACAGCACTATTTGACGCCCGGTCAAAAAAACTGCGATGCCCGCTTTTTTCGGGGCTTTACCCGGGACTTTTGGTGATACCCGGACCCGGCACTGCCAAATTTCACCGCAGCCGCATCCAAACCGGGTATTCATACCCCTTTTGCCCGGATTTACCACTTTTGCCCGGATTCACCCTACCGTTTCATCTCACACTCCCAGCAAAAGGTAATTTTCCCAAGGAAAAAATGATTACATTTAATGCATTTTTAGTCAAAAATGCTCATTTAATGCTGAATAATGCTGATTTAATGCTGATTTAATGCTGATCAAATGCATTTTTAATCATTTTTTGCTCTAAATGTATTCATTTTTTACTTGAGAAAATTACTTTATGCTGGTAGTGTCAGGTCGCTCAAAGAGGACAAATCCACCTTCGACTGACTTGGCAAAGCATCAAAGCGCTCAACATGAGCCATCCCGAAATGGTAAGTCTCACATGCTCACTCTATTTGTTTCACTACTTCTTCTACGGTGACATTCACCTGACCATGTCTCTCTCTTTTGCCTATCTAGTTGGTGTTTACTTTGACGGTCACACATCTTACTCGCGATAGAGATAATCGATCCCATCGATACATCCTAGTCTCACGCCCACGCACGATGTCCAACCCCATTGGTTTTGGTAACTTGCCTTCGCAAAAGCATCCACAACCACCTCCAGGTTTTCCTCCGTTTAACCCTTACATGTATCCACCTTACTGGCCTCCTTATCCATACGCCATTCCCAATTCGGACCAGACATCAGCAGGAAGATTTCAATCTCATCAACCACCACCGATGAACTGGCAATATCCGCACCCATTCCCATACCCCTTTCCAGGTCATCCCGCATCGAATGACCACATTCTTGAACCCAACCCTCTTGACCACGTTCTTGATCCCAACACTCTCAATGCCACTCCTTCTCATTGCTTGATTGAAACTCATACCCCCGATTCAGCTGCTCAACCCAGCAAAAACGATCTTCCTTTGTCAGCCACACCTGCACTCGAACTTGAACCACCTGTTAAAGATTCACCTCAACTAAACCACACACCCGATGTTCCTAGCTCAGCTTCAGTAGTTCAAGTGATCTCAAATACACAAGATACTGAATCAACTGAACATCGTGAAGCCGTTGAAGAAGATGAACATGATGAGATTGAACTTCTTGATCTTGAATCTGAGCGTGACAAGGATTGGCCGCCGCGTATAGGTAAGATTACCACCCAAGTCGACTTTAATATTGCTTTAAACTTTTCACCAAAACACTGACAATGAAAATTGAATTCTGTTGTTTCTGTGGTTGTGCTAGGAGCTGAACCGGTTCGACTCTTGCAATCACCAGTTTTCGGAAAGGAATTTGTATCTAGTGCAAGTGCGATTATGTACTTGAACGCTGTGGCACGACATCAAGGGTACGGGATTGCAATCAAAAGTAACAAGACCGAACATCACCAGAAAGTTTGCATCTACTTTAGGTGCTCTCTTGGCCGCGCGGTGAAGTCTGTGGCCAAAGAACGCGAAACTTCAACAAAAATGACCAGCTGTCCATTCGAATTGTCGCTCAACTTCCACTCACGTAAAAATAGATGGGTTGTTCAGCAAGATAAGAAGAACACTTCAAAACACGAACACAACCACGAGGCTTTCGAACAACCTAACCACCACTCCAAAAATCACCAGTTTTCTGACGAGGCGTTACACCAGATGGACCTTCTTTCTTCAGCTGGATGTCGTACTTCCCAGATTCGCAATCTTATGAACTTTGCCCCTGGATCCGAACCTCTTTTAAGAGATATTCGAAATGCTTTGTATCGACTGCGAGACGCTTGGTTATGTGGTCGAACACCGATACAAGTACTCTTTGATTTGATTAACGACAATCAATGGGCTCATCAAACAACAACCTCTTCTGACGGTACCCTACAATCCCTGTTCATGGCTAGTCCTGAAGGAATCAAACTGGCTAGGCGTTTTCCAACAGTCATAGGTCTTGACTGCACGTACAAGACAAAACGATTCAACCTTCCTCTTCTTCATATTGTTGGAACTACCAACACCCACAAAACTTTCACTGTCGCCCTATGTTTCATGCACAGCGAAATCGAGGAACAATATGTATGGGCCTTAGAACAATTAAAATCGATAGTTTTTGATGGAGATGCCGAAAACACCCAAATCGAATTGCCTCAGACCTTCTGCACCAATGCAGAGCCGGCTTTGTACAACGCCATCGGTAAGGTCTTCCCAACTGCACATCACATACTGTGCATATGGCACATTAATCACAACATTGGCAAGAATTGTAAGAAGAAATTCAAAGGACGTGAATGGGATGAATTTATGAAGATATGGAACACGTTCTTGCAAAGCACAACAACCGAAGATTACGACAAGAATCTTGAAGCCGTCACCACCATTGCCCGACGTCACCACATACTCGATTACTTGCAGAACACATGGCTTCATCGTACCGAAAAGTTTGTCGCGCTTTTTACAGCTCATCAATCGCCACACTTTGGCAACTCTTCAACATCTCGAGTGGAAGGTGGCCATCATTGACTCAAAAACTTCTTAGAGGGCAGTAACAACGATTTCATTACATGTTTCAAGGCCTTCAAGCGAGCCGGAGATCTACAATACAAGGAGATAACCATCTCAACCGGAGTCGAGAGCCAAAAGACGTTGCTTGGCATGCCTCAATGTTTCCTGGAACTCAATGGTAAAATTACGCACTTTGCTCTCAAGAAAATCAAAACTCAGTTCGATGGGATTGCGGACTCTTTCAAACGCCCTTGCACCAAATCATTTCGTGGCGCTTGGGGTTTGCCATGTTCTCATGAACTGGCTCGGGCTTTTGAAGTTTCAGATTACTTATCACCAAATGCGGTCCATCACCAATGGCATTCAAGCCTTGTAGCACCTCCCGGAAGTCATGAAGACCTCAAGAAAGCTGTGAAATCCAAGCTTGAACAACTAATCAATCTCCCCGAAGATTCACTTCGCAAAATATATGACGAGCTGGCAAAACTTGAAACAGGTCGGTATTCACTCATTCCAATCGAGAACGCTCTTGTCAAACGTAATAACCGTGGCCGTCCTCGAAACAAATCAAAACAGCCAGGCTCTAATCAGGACGGCCGATGGAAGTCAGACTTTGAATTGGAAGAAATTGAGGAGACGAAGGAAGCGGAAATGGAAGCTCAAAGGGAAAGGAAGAAGGCGCGTACTTCTAAATCTAAAACCAAAGTAAATCGACCAATTGCTTCAGGATCTCAAGCTCCGAATGCCTGTGATACCCTGCCTTCTCAACCTACTCAAATCAGTGTAGTTGCTGAAACACTATCTCAGCCGATTCTATCTTCAACTTCCCACATTACCACGAAGCAGGGAAAAGTTTTGTTTTCTCAGCCGGCTCAAGTGTCTAAATCAAGTTTCATTACTCAACCGAGTAATTCTTCAACGCCTACCAAAGCTTCCAATGTTGATTCTGCTTCTCAAGCGCCTCAAGCTAAATCCTCTCAGTCAGTCCGACCTTCCCAACACACAAAACGCCCTTTCAAATGCAGCCTCTGCCAGGCGGCAGGACATCGCGCAAACTACTGTCCCACTTTGAAACAAACCCCTGCTCCCATCAAAAAATCACCTACTCCCATTCATGAACCTTCACATAATTACTTGAGTGACTCTGACATCAGTATCAGTAAATCAGACATCGATGAGCCAGACCTGTTTCAAGGAGATGAAGAATGCCCATTCTGTGAGGACCCGCTTCCTTCAGCGCCGTCCAAGAGACTTCTCCGGATTAAAGCTACCCTATTGGCTTTGCCTAACGCTTTATTGTTGCCTGTAAGTTATGTTTCCTTCCTTTGATACTCAAAAGAGATTTTTGCGGAATGTAGATTCACGTTACGTGTAGTTTCCGCAAACTGCTGAGTTCTGTGATCTCCATCGCACCGAACGCGACGTTGTACCATTTGGGATACGTGAAGGCTGGCCAACTGCAATTGACTTCGACAATATAGAAAAGTGAGTTTGTCATTTTCGTTTTCTGCATCTAATTTGCTCTCTTTGCTGATAGATGAATGATCAATTCCAGCCGCATTCGAAATGATACCAATCATCTCACCCAAGTGATTGATAAACAAACGTCTTCAACTTTTCTGGATGACGCCATGAACAAATGGAAAAAAAGGGACGTGCCATGTTTGGTCTTTCTGGCGAGTTTGAAGGGTTTGAGGTGGAGCAACCCGGGTAGTAAGTGATACCGTCTTTGCGTTTTTGTTGGGTAGTGATAGGACACTAACACTATATATCCTGTACTTCCAGTTATGGCCAAAAAGGTTTGGTCATGATTACCAAGACATTGACTGCAATGTTCTTGTCTAACCAGTCATCCACTTGACTAGATGTCAAAAAGGCCAACCCTTTCCCTCCCGAATACTTTCTTCGACGTGTACTGGTTCCGGAAGTTGCCTCTTTGCTCATCGCCCAAGATTTGAATCTGTCGATGAAGGATCCGAAAGTGAAAAAGACTCTTGAAGCCAGCCGAGTCTTTGGCAACGCAATGTTCCCAATTGAAGACTTTGAAGAAGACGTGATTAAAGAATCGAACACAGTTAGTCATCACTGTGAGAAGAGTGTTCTCACTTCCTGTGAAGATCAGTTAATATTGAGGCAAATTCCTGGATTCATGGTTCCCTACATCAAGTCCACGTTCAACCCACCTGCATTCGGAAACTGTGGATACTTTGCAATCGCACAGGCTATTGGAATCTATTCAGATTCTTCGTTTCGGGACGTCAGGCGGAAACTCCTTACCAAGCTGTCCGAACATGCAAAAGATCACGAAAAGCTTATTGCCCCAACTCCAACCCGAACCTTGATGAGAACTAGACGAGGTCTATCATTTGCCGAAGAAGTTGTTCAGGATATGCTCATCCGA